TATTATTGATTAACATTGTGGTCAAGTTTGGGACGAATCGGATAAAACGTTCTGTCGTTAAACTCTTTTTTGTCGAGGAGATTGGGTAATTTTGCTTTGTCTTCAAATGACCATATAAGATTTGGCGAGGTTTCCAATCTTTCTGTCATTTTCGGAGGCATATATCACTGCGACAACATTAGAAAGCTTATAATATAGTATTTACAGAGTCTCTCGAAGTTCAAGCTATGCGCGATGTTGGCTTCGGTGACTTTTCTACTGCGTTTGCGTTTTGGCTTAGACCGGTTCCTTACTAATTGTATTTAACCGCAAGAGGTCAGACTGACAATTCGAGTCAATCATAATTACATGTTTCGCGCGAAGCTATTCAGTGGTCATAGCATATTCCCCTATATCTCGGTCGCTTTTTAACATTTTCTTTAAAAAGTTGCTGGAATTGAGTCTCATCATATATTGTAACCTTAATTATTACCACAATTTCTTTGGAAAGCATTCTAGAGTTATGGCATTCTACGGTATGTTCTACCTTACTTCACCGTGAGTTATGTTCTACCAAAGCTTTTCACAAACCAAATGAGTTATTGCGAGTAATGTCCAATACAGGCATCTGATGTCTGATGGTGAAGATAGTGTATGATGGTCGAAGTGTGTGAGATGGGTGTCAGATGGTTGTCAGATGGTGTCTGATGGTGTAGGGGGTTATACAGGGAAGGGTTGTCAGTTGGTGTATGATGGTGTATGATGGTCGAAGTGTGTCAGATGGTTGTCAGATGGTGTATGATAGTCGAAGTGTGTCAGATGGTGTATGGTATGTGTATGATGGTCGAAGTTTGTCATATGGTGTATGATGGTGTAGGATGGTTATACAGGGAAGGGGTGTCAGATGGTGAAGATGGTACAGATGGTGTATGATGGTCGAAATGTGTCAGATGGTTTTCAGATGGTGTATGATGGTGTATGACGGAGTTATGTGTATGACGTATGGTTGGCCTTGTAGGTTTTATTCATATACGTGTTTTCGAAAGAACGAGGCAACACTATATATGCACAATTGTGGTGTTGCTATTAACGTTTTTCACAAAGAACGAAGCAACACTAATAGCCGTTGGATGAGGGTCGAAAATGTTCAATTCCGTAGCACCCCTCGTGTAACTACATAATTTTTACATGAATGGATAGATTAGAACTTACTTAGTCAGAATCCACTTCCCCCCAAGCAAAATAGTTGCACAAATTGAAGTACAACCGCTCCAAAGTACATGCTTCTTCGAATTTTAAAATCCGTGAACCGCCATTGTTGTGTTGCAAATACGCATGCGCTTGACCACAAAACACTTAATGCGCACGCGCAGATTGGAAAACTGATCTCAATCAGGACTGGATAAACCTGGACAAGAAAAAAATTATGAAATGTGCGAAAGCAGGGCTGAAATAAAATAAGATGACATCGAAGTATTTTAAAAATATATGATATATTTATGGTCTGTGCATTTGAATGGAGTTCGCCAAACATTATGAGGCAGGAACACTTCCAAGCCAACATTACAATAATAACTTTTTTATACTCACAATAATTACATAACGTTCGCAAGCAAATCTGTTTTCAGGCTTTAAATGTTATCACAATCCTAAACATTCAGGACCGTCCACAGCAGAAAGACAGGGGGGGGGGCAATTGCCTCCTTGAGGAAACTATATTTACGATTTTTAGCATATCATTTGCGACTTTATTCGGCATATAGACCTTACTGCCCCCTGGTGAAAAAATCCAGCGTACGGCCCTGTAAACATTCTACGACACGCATACCGTAATTTATCTTTGGGGGTGTTTCTAATATATACAAAGAATCTGTTTGCACTGGATTGATTCTCTTTAAACATGCAACATCGGGTACTGTGATTTTCAGTCAAATATCATAATTATAATTATCTTTCAAATACAATATTTCATGCTTCACGATTTTATGCATTAATTGCTTACAAAAGAGGGCCGGGGGTGCGGAGGGGGTGGTGCTAAACAGAGAAATTACGATAACTAACAATCTTATTTATTTTCTAAATCTTTCCCTGTCCATTTTATTGAGTCAAATTTGGTTGGTCCAACCTGGAACTTCATTACGACTCTGTTTTTGTATCAGCCAATTTCAGCCTCAAACGGCTTTTCGCCAATCCAATTTTTGCAATCATCATTCTCAGTTTATAAAAAAAAACAAAGAAGAAGGAAACAGCCTAGTATGCTATAGGAGGTATTGTTAAACAACAGTACTTCGTGATGTTTGCAATCTAATTATAACAACTTGCGCATACGACGCACGCATATCAAGAGAAAGGGAGTTTCCGTCTTATCTAATTAGCATTAACAGCCTTTCGAAACACACTGTCCATTCTCAGTCAATTAAATTTAAATATGTTATCCAACAGCATTAGGACGAAAATCGGAACAAGACCAACAGATTACCTGACTCAGACTGAGTAATCTGCTCTTTACCAAAACATCACTGCTCTCCGAAATGTCTTCAGCGAAACCGTCATCAGTGCTCTGAGTGGACTCCAAAAGTTGCCCACCATGATCATCACCATCATCATTACCTTCATCATCATCTGTTTTCCATCGCCTTCGATCATCAAACAATCAGGGTAAATATGTTATCTAACAACATGAAGTCTCAAGTCGGAATAAAGGCCAACAGATGATTAACACGATGTGGGTAAATAGGATTCTCTCAACCTGAACTCGGAGAAGTTTTGTATCTTTCTTTCAGCTAGTTGAAAGAAAATATTTACTTGCACCGTGTGATTCCTACAACCTTGATCTATACTGGACCCACCTTGTTCAAGTTATTACAACAAATTATTACCTTACCCAGACCGAGTACTTTACTGTTTATGAAAACATCACTGTTCTTCGATAATGTTAGCAACGATATGTCATATAAAGCTTCTCCGAGTTCAAGTTCAGAGAAACCTATTTACCCACATCGTGTTAATCATCTGTTGGCCTTTTTTCCGATTTGCGACTTCATGTTGTTAGATAACATATTTACCCTGATTGTTTGAAGATCGAAGGCGATGGAAAACAGATTTTTTTTTTTAAACGTATATATTTATTGTTGACGTTTGCCCAAGAGCTATGAAGCTCATCGAGGGGTCAGAGCCGATGACGGTTTCGCTGAAAACGTTTTCAGAGGCATACCCAGGTTGGGGCCCGAGAGGCCAGCCTATAAAATAGCCTTCTTCTATAAAAAGAAGTAAAACACTTGAGTAATGGACAGTGTGGTGCGGAGAAGTTGTCAATGCTAATTAGACTACCGGAAACTCCCTTTCTCTTGGTATGCGCGTGTAAAAAACATTACTGTTCTGACTTCAGACAATTATTGAGATCAGTAGTGGTCATTAGTCCGTACAATTATAGAGATCAGATACTTAGCTCTTAGCTCTCTCTGTAAACACGAGATTGGGAATACATCGAGATACAGTTATCGAAGCATTTGTGAGCGAGATTATTTACATATTAATAGAAAACAGTCTTCGTTTTCGACAGCGCGCGTTGTATGCGCAAGTTATTATAATTAGATATTTAGATTGCAAACGTCACGAAATGCTGTTGTATAACAATACCTCCTATAACCTACTAGGCTGTTTCCTTCTTCTTTGTTTTTTTTTATAGACTGAGAATGATGATTGCACAAATTGGATTGGCGAAAAGCCGTTTGAGGATGAAATTGATTGATACAAAAACAGAGTCGTAATGAAGTTCCAGTCAGCGTAACCAATTGGTAGGCTGGTCCTTGATGTTTGGACTAACCAACTTTGACTCAATAAAATTGACGAGGAAAGATTTAGAAAATAAATAAGATTGCTAGTTGTCGTAATTTCTTTGTTTAGCACCACCCCCTCTCCAACCCGGCCCTCTTCTGTAAGCAATTAATGTATAAAATCGTGAAGCATGAAAGTATTGTATTCGAAAGAAAATTATGATATTTGACTGAAAATCACAGTACCCGATGTTGCATATTTAAAGACAGTGGCCGCCCCCCACCTTCACGGAAAATTGACGAATTTTCGGAATGGAAATGGAGATGGGGTGGGTAGGTCGGAAATTTGAAAGTTTTGTCGGAAATTTAGGAGGTTTTGCCCCCCCCCCCCCACCGGAAAAAGTGAATTTCCGCCACTGTTTAATTTAGAAGTTAAACGAAACTTACCTGGAAGTTGAAGTTTGACTGGAATTCTATCCCATAAGATTAGTAACCAAGGACTGACAAGAAGAACGAACGCAGGCTCTCCGGGAGTGACATCACATCATTATTTGAAAGCAACGCACAGTGACCAAGCATAAATAGAACCAACAAGCAGTATCATCAGACTGACAACCCAGTAGGAGTGGGCGGGTGGGCTTGTCAGTCCTTGGTTACTAATCTTATGGGATAGAATTCCAGTCAAACTTCAACTTCCAGGTAAGTTTCGTTTAACTTCTAAATTCTATCCCATAAGTCGTAACCTACGGACTGACATGAAGTCTTCAAAGCATGCGAGGTCGCTGTGAGTATAAAAAATACCGACAATACAAACTTACGCAAATAAGTTTAATCTGAATGTTTAGAAATAAATAAATAAGTTTCCCTTATACACACTATCCAACCACTTAAACACAACATTCTAATAAATATGACGTACGATAAGTGTAATATCTACTCAATAACCCCTTTGTAATAGAAGCGCCTAAATGTGGTAGCATTACTCCAACCTGTTCTTTGCAGAATTTCATCTACTGGAAGATCTGCTGCATAGGCTGCTGTTGCAGCCGCGTGTCGTGTAGAATGTGGTTTGAATAAAGTAATGTCAATACCAGCACCGGCTAAGACAATTTTAATCCATCGAGCTAAAGTTTGAGATCCAATAGCACGATGCGGCTTTATCGTTGCAACGAGTAAATTGACACTTTGTCGTAAATGTTTAGTCTTCTCAAGATACGCTTCTAAACATAAATATGGGCAAACATCAGGATCCAAATTGTATCTAGGAACAATAACAGGTGGAACTGAATAATTTGGTCTGCTTTGTTTGATATGCTTATCAAGAACAAACACAAATTGAACATCTGGGGCCGGTTGTATAAAAACGTAGTTAGCGCTAACTGCAGTTAAAAAGTAGTTAAAAAGCCTTAAAAAGTAGTTAACTTTAATCACGTAGTTAAGCCGGTTGTATAAAAGTGTAGTTAGCCTTAACTGCAGTTAAAAAGTAGTTAAAGTTAACTATGCTCTAGGGTATAGTTAACTGTCCAAAACGTAGTTAAAAATGGCGTTTGTATAGGAGTGAACAACATTTTTCAGTAAAACAACAATGAAAAGCAACGGTTAACTGAGATTTTCAATCGCTATCTTCCCTGTGAATGTTTCCTGACAATATAAACTCTTCAAACGCTATCGCTTTGGTGTTTTTACGAAAACAAAACATATTTTTGCACAGGACGATTTCCCGAAGACGAAGTATGGTCCATTACACCAAGAAACACTGATATTAATTGCCAAACAACTATACCTTGGTTTAACGTAGGCATCTCAAGGAAAAACAGCATTCTTTTATGATTTTTGTGGCGGTTTTTCCTTGTTTTCTTGTTTATTTTTCACTGTTTTCTAGTGTTTTGAATAAAATTCCCGCCTATTTGCAAAATGCGAGTCCACAATCATGTTGAAAATGTGTGTCAGCGGTCGTTACTCGCTGTTTACTTTATGTAATTTTGTGTTTAAACGCCCCACGCAAGCCCCACGCACAGTTAACTACGTGATTAGTTAACTATCCGGCTAACTACGTTTTGTGCAACGCAGTTAAGTCATGTAGCTAACTAATTACAGTTAAGGATTTAACTACAGTGATTAACGCTAACTACAGTTAGCGCTAACTACGTTTTTATACAACCGGCCCCTGATTGTATCATGCAGCCATTGTTAATATTGAGGTGTATTAAAGTTTGCTTCCGCTGAATAGTCACCAAAGCCAATAACATTGTTAATTTGTGACTAAGCTCTTTAAGACTTAAACCACTGTTAGGGGTGAACGTTTTCAGATAAGCCAAAACTGTGTGGACATCCCAGATAGCATGATGCTTATTAGCAGGTGGTTTCCGTTCAAATGCCCCTTTTAGGAAACGACAAACTATTGGGTGCTTCCCCACTGGAAAATTGCCAATAGAAAGAAAACATGATAACGCTGATCTGGCACTGTTAATACTAGAATATGATAAATGCAATTGTGTATACAAGAATTCCAAAACTTGATTTAAAGTAGGGGAATGTGCAAGAATTTTCCGTTCACGACAGAATAAATTCCATTTTTTAAGATAACTCGCATACTGTTTTTGTGTAGAAATTCGCCATGAATCGAGGAGTACACCGGTAATGTGGTCAGAAAAGCCCTGGTTCTGATAATGTTGCCGGACAAGGGACATGCCATCAACTTCAGTTTTCCTTGCATGCTGTGAACCTTGCCTAATGGGTGTCTCAATAACTCCACTTGAGGGGTCCACAACAACAGCTTTGGCTGCTGAATGAGCATCTGTAGAAGAAGAGGGTACCATGTTTGTGTGGGCCATGCAGGGACCAGTAAAACCCCTTCGGCTTGGTCTCGAGAGATTTTCTCCAGACATTTCGGAATGAGACTAAAAGGAGGGAAAGCATAAAAATATTCATTCGCCCATGATACACTGAAAGCATCCACTATTGCAGCATGTGGATCTGGGTGCCAAGAGGCATACCGTGCTACCTGTCTGTTCAACAAAGATGCAAACAGATCAATACTAAACTTAGGGAATTTTTTGGAGAGTTTGTGAAAAATATCCGTATTAGGCTGCCATTCATGATCTGACAGATGTTTTCTAGAAAGTGAATCTGCAACTACATTGCTGGGTCCTGGAATATAATTAGCAGTGACCCATATATTGTGGGAAATGCACCACGCCCAAATCTTTCTGGCTACTGTATCACAAGCAGAAGATCTACATCCCCCCATGTGATTGATATAACTAACGGCAGTCATATTGTCTAACTCGAATTTAATGTGGACGTCAGACTTCTCCATACCAAATATTGTTAAACATATAAAAACAACATACAGTTCCCTTACATTAATATGTAGGGTACGCTGTTCACCTGTCCACAAACCCTGAGACTGTAACTGAGGATTAGTAGTACACGTTACGCCCCAGCCAAGATCACTAGCATCAGTCTGAAAGATATAGGAGATGACGGGATGACGTAGTCGCCTAGATGCATGCATTACATGTGTAGTCCACCACTGAAGCTCCTGCTTTGCTGCCTCAGAAAGGTGCATAAATGCCCGATAATTTCCATTATTCCGTGCAAGGGCGTGAATTTTATCGCGTTCAAGATTGCGATAGTGTAACCGACCATACTCAACCCCAGGGAGGGCAGAGATAAGTGTACCAATAACACTAGCAACGAATTGAATTGTAAGTTTGTTGCCACGCAAAGCCTGTAAACAGAGATCTCTCAATTTTACCTTTTTCTCTAGGGGAAGTTTTACTATCATTAACAAACTATTTATTAAGAACCCCAAAATTAAGAGCTCTTGGGAGGGTATCAATGCACATTTGTCAGGGTGGACATGCAACCCGAGACTAATAAAAAGTCTGACACTATCCGATACATTAACTGCGCAATCCGAAAATTCCTGACCTTGAAAATAAAAGTCATCAATAAAACCACTGTTAATGTGTCCTTTTTGTCGAAGAGTAGCCAAAACTGGCTTCATGACTTTGGTGAAAATTCTGGGAGAACTAGTTAGCCCCATGGGCAGACACAAAACTCATACAGTTGTTCATTCCAAACGAATTTGAGAAATTTCCGTTGTTCGTCTGCAATAGGAATAGTGTAATATGCATGCTTTAAATCAATAGAAGCCATATAGGCTCCTGGAGTAACAAGACTAAGAATTGCAGCAAGCGTATCCATTTTGAAATGTCTGTAAAGAACAGCCTGGTTACAGCGCTTAAAATTAAAAATCAGTCGATATGAACCATCCGGTTTTGGTACTACAAAAATTGGAGATATACATTCTCCCGCAGCATGCATCGATTTTGATACGACTCCAAGCTGCAGTAGTTTATCTACTTCCTTACTAATAATATCATGTTGGTGGACATTAAAATGCTGATTCCCTGGAATGCTATATTTAGAAGGGTCATCAATGAACTCTATGTGACAATGCTCTATATTATCTAAAATCTCTGGGTCAGATGTGATCTCTGACCATTTAGAAACACAATGCTTAGTATTACCAGCCCTAAAACCTGGCTGCTCAGAAATAAGTGATTTAACATTAGTTAATAAGTCAATATACCAGTTGCGAGTGGGCTTTTGGTGGCTTGCCTTTCGCTCGTACTGGGGCACATTCTGAAAATTCTGGCGCTGATGAAAACCAGAACCAAACTGAGAACCGTGGCCACGCTGGCTTCTACCACGCATTGAACCGCCTCGAAAACCTCTCGTAGCATACGGGTGAAATCTCGGACCTCGTCCACGAAAACTGGTCGAGCCTTTACACACTTTGTGTTTGTTGAACTCGGCCATCTCTTTAACGCGTTTAGCAGTGTCGCCTCCAAAAAGAAATTCGTCAGCTG